ATCGTGTATACTATTTGTCTTCCATTTTGTGCAGCTGTTTTTCATCCCATTGGACAGTCAGTCGGTGGTCTATATCTGACACTCTTCGGTAGAACGTGCTGACACAGGCGTTCATGGAGAAACAATCAAGCTCCGAGAATACGATACGATAGAGATTTTTATTTCACTCCTGTAGCCATGTGAATTCATGATGCGTTATTACCTCTTGATCGTATTCACGCTGGCCGTCGAGTCAGGATTACTCTTGCCTTTCGAGTATTAACATTAGTCTTTCAAATCACGGTTATATCAGAGAGTCAGAATGATAATCAATATGACATTGAGTAAGGGCAATTTCAATTTTTCTATAGGGTACTAATGAGTGTTGCACAGCATTTTGTATTGTGGCTCGAAATACACTTATAAAAAGAAGAGACCGTCAACTTGCAGAATTTTTCCAACTTTAAAATAAACATTTTGATCTGAAGTTATGTGGAGATTTATTAATTGATTTCAGGTTGGAATTCATCACGAACTGACATCGTCCGGGAGTAGTGGATAGCTCTTTCGTCCTGGCAAAGTACTCCTCAATAGTGTGCACTCACATACCCAGCAGGGATCAAACCCAGGACCTACTGGTTCCGCAGTCATCATGTTGCCATTGGGCCACTGGGTGCCAGTCCAATGATCCATATTTCCTGCTTATTTCAGTTTACGATATAGCGTGATTTTCATCCAGTGCCGTCGCTGAGTAACTGTTCTCATGTTGGACTTGGTTGGCTCCACTGGTCATGACTTCTCATTGTAACTTCGGGAATCACCTCCTGAAACTGTTCCTCAATGTTAGTCAATGACGAATTCTAACCTGAAATCAATTAGTAAATCTTTAAAAACCTCCAGATTGAATAATTCTAGCACTTGTTGGTCACAAGCCCTGAGATGTGGTTCCCGAAGTTCTAGTAAGAAGTCGTGACCAGTGGGGCCAACCAAGTCCAACATGAGGACAGTTACTCAATGACGGCACTTGATGGAGGTTGCACCATATTGTGGACTAACAGAAGTAGGAGATATGGACCATTGGATTGGCACCCAATGACTCAATGGTAACGGGCTGACTGCGGGACCAGTAGGTCCTGGGTTTAATCCCTGGTGGATTTGTGGGTGCGTGCTGCTGAGGAGTCCCTTACTAGGATGAAACAGCTGTCGAGTGCTTTCAGGTCTCCAATATTTTTTCGACTGATGTCAGTCCATGATGAATTCCAACGAACATTTTGAGTAGTTCATCAATACAATATCAAACTTGTTACGGCATATTTACAACTTACATTTAGCTATTCTTTATTAACGGAAGTAGGAGCAAAACTAAGTATTTTTAAATATTTGTCACCTTATATTGCATTCTACTTGGTAGTATGTGACATTATTCAAGAAAATAATCAAGTTAGGAACAGAATACTACCAGTTGCCATCTTGATAAATCTGAAATTATTTCGAAATATAACCACGTATTTTTAATATCGTAGGATCTTCTGGTAAATTGCAAGAAAACTTGAATAATTGGTTGTAAAATCCTTACAGCATATCATTACTCTGTTAAACTACATCAAATTTCATTTTCATAGTAGGTAGTATGAATTTTTTAAGAAATATTGATTTTTTCCACAACAAGTAATGTAGTCATACTTTGGGGAGTGTGTTATAATAATGCGTAAAAGGAATGCCGCGTGATGTGCTAAGGATGTAAGTCTTCATCCATTGATTTGGTTTCGGGATGAACAGAGAGGGTATACTCGAAATAGTACCTAATAAACAGCTGGTGTCCATACTAGTATTCTGAGTTTAGCTTTTTTTATTTGAGATCATCACTACTCTCTTTTGGATGTAGATAAATCTAGATGACGAATCCTTGGTGAAAATAAACGAGGGATGTTGAATTTACTACTGGCTACCTTTTGGTAGTGTTATGTTCTCAGAAATGCATGGCTTTATCGTATAGCTTTCATTGTCATTTATCAGTACGTGCTTCAAAAAGAAGTTAGATACCAAAAACCCTTCCCAAATGGGTAAACAAATTGTCCTAGTGACAGTGGGTATGACTGATAGTTTCTTTTAAAATATTGTCTCACTGACCTGAACTCCGACCTTTTCGATGTTTCTTGTGTTCCTCAATGGTTAATGGACTGGACCGGTATCAGGATGTCTATTGATTTTCGACTGACCTTAGAGTTGACTTATGGAAATTGTCAATGATTCTTTGTATTTGATTTGTCAATGATTTCCACACTTTCTCAATCGAATTCATACCTCTAATTTCCAAAGTGCGTTGATATGAACGAAGTTACATGGTGGTGCTTCACTGCTAGTTACTTTTCGTGTAGACTAACACTAAAAGATTAACCACTGTCCGACATAGTATTTTTCATGACTGCTGCAAGTAATTTTATAAGTGATACTGAACATGTCTTCTTTTCCGATCATGTCATTTGGACTAGACAACAAAAATGAAAACCAATGGCTTCAACAGTCCAGTTGCAGTTTCTGAGATGTTCTCTATGTGAACAGTCCGTCTACAAGTTTCCAAGAATAACGCTTCGTTGATGATGAAATCAACAAGAGTCTTTGATGAAATTATTCTTCTGAAAGATAGCAACTGAATAATTTTCGGCTTTTCTCCGTAATTGTTCAAGATAATCACTGTCGTCAGATCTATTAAATTTTTTTATGCGGTGTAGGTTATAATTTATTGGCGTGAAAAGTGTGAAGCTACATTACAAACATTACAAGCTGCATGACAAAGGGTTCCGGATAGGAAAAGCCACACAAATATAAATTCCATTTTTAGTTGCATAACAATTCCCTAGGTCTTATTCTTATAGACTGTTCTTTAAATTATTTCAGTTCCAAACTTTGAAACATACAAATTTGTTAATATATGAATAAAACTAGAGCACTATGGTAGACTGTAATTCCTTTTAGTCAGTCACACCGTGAAATAATAGTACTTACTGAATGTTGGTTGACGTACAAATGCGCATAGCAGGATTCAGTTCCTGAGAAGCGACTATGCTTTCAAATGACAAACATAGATGCATATTTTATTTGCTTAGTGGTGACTAACAGCGTGATCGAAGACGTCTTTTTCCTCCCACTTAAAACTCATCAGCTGGATATACCAGTTTCCTAGTAGGTGATGGCGCCCCATTCATGATTTGAGTTCAACACCCATCTTTTCAAACATCAGTGTTATCATCTGATCTATAGAGTTGAGGAAGTCGCTATCAGTGAAATGGGCACCATTTGTTACTTATTGCTACTTGCATTTTCCGCTGACCATTATACTTAATCAAGTTGTTCGGTCTCTGTCTGTACTTAAACTCCTTGAATAGATGCCCCAATGCTCTTAGAATTTTCTTCATGATGAAGTTTGCTTGATAGTAGCTGTCACTGTAATCCAAGACTTATGTTTTGTCCTATTTAAGACTCACCATCTGGATATAGTGAAATTAAATATAGATAAATCTAACCATTAGGAGTCGTTACACGAAGTTCAGTAAATAAATTGCTGAAAATCTTCGAAATTGTCAAGGTTTTCTCTTTTCAGAATACCATTTTAGCGACCTCTGAGCTAGATAGCTTACATCTATTATTATTATTATTATTTCCTTGGGTTTCTAGTAGAACATACGGCTTCAATAGCATGCCTCTATCCCACTCACTTCTCTGCAGTTTTATAGACCTAGCTCCACCACTGCCCATAAGCCTTCATTTCTTCCTCACATCATCTCCTCCATGTCACCCTCAGCTCAGACTCCCAACTAGTCGTTTCCCATTTGGATTTCACTCGAGGGACTGGTCTGGCGCGTGATGTTCCTAATCGACCATTTCAGTGTATGCTCAATCCATCTCCACTTCCTTCTTCTGCATATTTGTTAACCAGGCGAGGTTAGCTTACATCTTTATTTCAGGTGGAATTCCATTGGTTTTCACAATTAAATGCAGTTTTAGTTGTCACTAATGTTTACTGAATTTCCTGGATAGTACTGTTGGACTGATTAACTCATTTGCCTCAGTCATATAATGAAGGATTTACAGATCAAAAGCTGGAATTAAGACTATTAAATAAGCTGAGCAACTCATAAACATTGAAAAAGATATCAGTTTAGTTAGTACTAAGGTGGAAACAACATGGGTAAATAACATCCTGATAACTACTTTAAGTACGCAACGTAGAAAAAGTCAAAGAAACCCAAGTATAAATCGCGCATTTAAAAACACCAGTGTAACAAATAAAAATTTAATTTTTCCACGTTCATTCAGAAAGTCTGACAAAATCACAGCAAATAACCACATTCTCCAGCTTTTCTGTATTGAAGTATGCCGAAAACACTCATGGTGAACTGAGTGAAATGATATTTCTGCAGACACATTTACAGAAGACCACAGAAGTATATTGGGTCAAGTTGGTACACTTCAGAGCAGCATGCAAATAAAAGGCGAATAAAAAATGAATGATATTTGTTAGCAGAAGTCTACGACAGCTGATAAAGAAAGCCAACGGAGGTTAATGTAATTATTCCAGACTTCGAAAATGACAATAACTTTGCTGACTAGTTTGTGCTGAATTAGTCCTGAGACTTAGTTTAATTTACCTAACATGCTGTTAAATTCTAGTTCCGAGCACAAAAGTATTTCCTAATTAGTATAGCTTCCACTACTACTGACTTACTAGGCAAAGGACATTCGTCAGGATTATTCTTCTGTTCCTCACTATTATTCCACGTGCATCAAGAAGCCAAGCGAATGAATTCAGTACTAAATAATATAGTTAAAATTCATGAAAACCAATAAATAGAGGCAGTAAATACTACAGAGTTAGAGTGAATGGAAGATGGTGGAACGGAACCCTTTTTAGATTGAGTGAAATATTTTGACTCACTGATATCTCTATGACTCTTGATGTGCATGATATTTATTCAAGCTTTTAATACTGTTTTTCATCATTTTCTTTGTAGAGCATTAGAATGAGGAGCGCAATATGTGTCGCTGTCAGATACTTATTTTTAGGTGAGTTCGGCTTTTGACGCATACTGTTTGTTTACCACAACTAATTGCTTTCACTTTAACGTCTGGTTTATAGGAAGCAATCAATATGATTCTAGTGGATAACTGTCTCATCTTTTCAGAGCTTACTACAGTATTTATAAGTTTTCTGTTACAAACCGACGCTGAAATCAATATAAAAAATAGGCATATAGATGATACTTTCATCGTTATAAAAATCAGAACATGAAAGATTTTGCAACATTTAAACTTGTTGTCATGTTGCATAAAATTCGCGAATGAAACCGAATCAAATAAATGAACTTTAAATGTCTTAGACTGTCTAGTCCAGAGAACATCAGGAGGGAAATCTGAAAGTAGAATTTAGAAAAATCCTGCTCATTCTGGTAGTTATCTAAATTTAAAATCTGAACCTTCCATCAACATAAGTAAATTAGCTTTGAACCTAATAAATAGGGCTAAAGTTACTGTTACGGATCCAGAGGGTATAGAAACTGGAATTTTAAAAGCATCCAGAATCTTTAAAGAAAATGACTATCCATAGCATTTTCTGAACAATATTTTCAGTAAAAAGAACAAGGAGCAAGTAAATTCAACCATGAGGAATAAAAAGACTCGTGGATATCAATTATGAAAATTCTAGATAGAAAACTTACCTCAGAATAACTGTAAAGAGCTTTCACTATGCACGATATTAAGGCTTATTTCAATCCTTTAAATTTGTTCGAAAAAGCTTTGGTCAAAGTAAAGGAAGTAATTTCAAAGAAGACAGAACAACTGCGTGCATAAGATAAAATGTATAAAATGTGATGCCAGTCATATAGTCGAAAGTTGTAGACAGCTGAAAATTAGGATAAATGAACACAACGTATGTGGTCAACGCGCACTGATAAATGAAATTGAATTCAAATGCTTAGAAAGGTGAAAGACAGTAGCAAAGCATGCTATCGAAGGTGAACACAAGAATAACCATTATAGTATTGACATATTAGGAAGCGATCTTCCTTCATTTACAGAAAGACTGCCTGCATGAACTGTAAATATTACTGACAAAAAGTTCAGGAAACCGAAAAGTAGGAACAGACTTATTACTTTTTTTTCAGCAAAAATATTAAAAATCACCATTTCAGATAGAACTTTTCAAAACAAACTACTGATGTTTTATGAATAAATATACCTTCTCATATTTTCATGGAAAAACAACAAACGATGCTCCTACATTCCCAAACGCATATACATATGCATATACCGATACTCTGAAAATTGTTTTTGAAGACAAATTACAATGACTGCATAACCTTGTGATGACTAATTACAAGTCTGCACAGCAAATCAGCCAACCGATTAATTAAACAAAAATTATTGTATCTACCATTTGACTATACATGTTTAAGTGTTTATTAGAAATCCAAACACTTTACTGAAGAAGGTGAAACGTTCAGAAGTCGTTAAAATTTTTTAGAAACTCGCTGGGATTATGTCAAAACTTATACATATATATATATATATATATATATATATATATATATAAACTATAGTATTTCTTAGGAATTTTCGACATTCTTTATCAGTTAATACTACTCGTAGTTATTTATAGTCACCATTCAAAGTTCCCTGAGTTCCTTTTCAATTGACTTCTTTGCATGTGAATTAAGAATACAAAATGCTTTTAATTGATTTTAAATCAAACCGAAGAGGTCAGCTGATGTCGTGTCATTAGTTTTTTTCTTTTCACATATAATCTATCGATTACTTGATAAAAGTCTTCAGCGCAGTACTCCTTTACTCATGAATATTCACATTCGTAAAAATTCATTAGCAGATAAATTTCGATTTCATCTTCTCCAGGTGATGTTGAAATGTGCTAAAAGATAAGTTTACTCTTAAATCATGAAAACGGCAACCTTTTACAACTTCGTTTATCATTACCATGTTTACATTTGAAGTGGACTTCAGCATGAAGTAGGGTGTATTGCTTTCATCTGAAGAGTTGAAAAGAATGTATATTCTTATGCAACTGTAGAGGGAATCCAGTCTTCGATTATGTCTGGATAGTTGAAGTATTCACCGGGTGCGCTTAACAGATGTTATTTGACTACGATAAAAGAACGAAATATTTTAAGAATAATCTTTCTTAATGCATGCTGTTATACTATTTTCCCCTTTACAATTTATGGTCAGTTTATCACAGAGTATTAGTAAATACTGCGATTTCACTTGGATGTATATCCATCCGTAAGCAGGAGACATTTTTTATGTAAGTTTATAGTGAATACGGTTGGGTGACGGTAGAAAGAATATTTCTTTCGACGGCATACCTAACAAGAATTAAAATTCACTCATTACAAATATGGTGTGGATTCGCTTTAAACGTTTATGATGGGCGAGATATCTAAAGAAATGAAAAGAAACCTTTAATGTTGCATCGTCATTCATTATCTTCTGATTTGACTGTAAATTATGCAGGAGAACTCGTTAGTACACAGAATTTGGCAAAAGGGTATCATGGTATCCTACTCCTTTTAGGACAAAGAGGGATGTAATTGCGGCTTTGATGGATAAAGGCTGGAGGTGGAATCCGGGAAGTGAGTTTTATTCTATCTAAGACCCGTCATTTGGATTTGCCTGGAATGCAGGTATTCCCTCTGGAACTCGAACATAACACCCATCGTTTAGAGCATCGGAGAGCTATCTGCTAGGTTAGTGAGTCAGAATAATCACTTCATACCGAAATAATCAAGAAATTGTCTCATAATTCATTCAAATCTTTCAATAAACCAATAAATCACTTTGCCCACTCTTTGCATGACAAATGATACATTTTCAGTAGTATAAGAATGATTACTATTCAGTAAACCTATCTACACTTTTTTACTAGGTTATTTTGTTCAACATTCTTGTTTTTTGAGAATCACCTAGAATTTCAGTAGGCAGTTTCATAATTTATTCATCTTAGTTTGCTTGCGTAATGGCCTCTAGCTATAGATTCACCTTTACGAATTCCATAAAAAGAGAGAAGTAAGTTACGTAGGTAAAATTTAGTCATGACACTTGCAGGTTGAAATTGTGTTTTAAATATTTTATGGTAAACCTACTTTCAATATCGTCATGAATCAAATTTCTCACTCTTTTTCGGAAAGTACATCACTACTCAGAGACTGGGTTGATGTTCAGTTAAACAGTAACATTTTACAAGTATTTTTTTTTCAAGACTGAATATGATTTGAATTCCAGTGTGCAAAGAGAAAAAAATATGTAAGTGAGACTTTCTAGACATACATTTAAAAATGGAAGGATCTTGGTAATTTTTATTTTTCATTGACTTTTGTCTGAGTTGCCTATTAAATTTTTCAGTTTTTCATAACCACCATCTCGTTTGAAAAATCTGGTCATCATTAAGTCTCCCACAGTAAGGAATTTCGCTTAGAAGCAAAGCCCTTTCCCATCTTGATTGCTGAATCAGTATATTGAGGCGAGATTTAATTTACTGGTTGGATGAAAAATCCAGCTGCCAATATAGAGTTGTTTTGCAAATATATGGACGGTGCTGTTTTTGTTTCTGATAAGTGCATATTTATTAATTTTACTCTGCGGCATTACAAAAGCCCTCAAGTTCATTTCACATACGAAAATGAAATCAGTAATTCCATACATTTTATTGATGTGCTAATGACAAGAAAAGACGACTCTACACACAGAAGGATATATAGAAAGCCGACGTCTAAGACACAGTATACGTGCTTCTTCAACTTCTTGCTGATGACGTATAAACGCGATATAATCAGGTACCTGACATTTAGAGTAAGATCGATATGTTTCAATTAATGTGTGTGAAAAGAACCACTTTGCATCGGGGATATTCTAAGTGAAAAGCATATCCGGATAAGTTCATCAAGGCTAACATCAATTACATTGGTTGTAGACGAAAATGGATGACACTAGAAAAGATAGGTTTGTTTCTGCTTGCAGTTCAAGAGAGAAGCTGCAAGTGACATCCTATCCAAATGTCTAGTTAGAGAAAACGGTGAGACGTTTTATACACGTCGGCTTTGCGTGTCATTCAGTAGTTGGCCAATGTTAAATCTCAGACTTAAAGATACCTCACCTTATCGTGGTTCTTCATCTTAGATATATCACTTTAACTGTTCCTGTGCAACGACTTATATTAGGGGTAAGATTAGGCAGATGCGTCACTGGATAAGAAAGCATTTACCGGCTTGGTTCGGTAACAGCGAAGTAAGGGTGGTGAAAAATTTCGTCCTCAACCATCCAGTAGATGCAAGGCATCACACAAATGGCAACAAAGCTTTCAATGTCATTACCTGTGTTCCAAAAACAATACCAGACGTAGCTGACCAATTACTGCGCAATGTAGCTTAGGGTGTGGCAATAAGGCTTATCAAATTTGAATTATGCATTCAGAAATGACATGTTCGAGCGTTATTTCTTCCGTTCACTTCAGTAACCTAAATGCTACTGTAGTGTACTCTATTCTTTGTCTTTTCAATGCAATTCACATCATATATCTGTATATGTATCATCCCAATACTGACAAATTAACGAAGAAAAATTAATTTCTTTGCAGTTCCTAAATTTCAATCCATTTTGAAAATGTATCTGCCCCTAACTTGGTTAGATTTCACGCTGTACAAATGCATTTATAATTTTAGAAGCTGATGAGAGTATTTACTGGAGACAATTTTCTTTGTTCTGAATGTCTCTTCTTACAGATGATATTAGTTCTCCTGCCTGAATTTGTCAAATTATTCCTCTTAAAAAAAGAAGTATGTTCAGCAGTTAAATAGAAAAGACAAAATATGTTTATTTCTTTAAAAGAATGTAATTTTAGTTACTGAATTGTAATTGAATGTCGGAATCTCCATTGTTATAAAAAACTATAATTCTGAAAAGTTTTAAAATCATAAGAAAGATAAATAAGCAGTTGTAGCGGAAAGGGACCATCTATTCGGCCAAGTATTTTTCGCAGTTACACTTTCCTAATA